AAGCGCCTGAATACGAGGCTGAGCATGCGTGGGATTTTAGGACGTCCATAGATGCTCAATTGGAGAGTGCATGTATATTCACATATAGGCCTTATCTCTTATATACCCTTGATTGAGAGCGGTTTTTAACCGGGTATGTAAACTTAGATTGACCTTGGGGGCTAGGTCCTGAAGGTGAGTCTGCCAGATCTCAGATGGGCCTTTTTTGAGTGATTTTTTCTCCTAAAGTTACTATAAGCACGGATAAAACTTAAGTTAGACTCGGATAACAATAATATTTGTGTTGGGCTTTAAATTAAGTGTAGTGTGAACCTGGCTTTTAACTATGTATTTGGAAAACTTATCATCATACAGTTTTTTAGTTTTTGTGAATTTTTAGTAGAGTTCCTAAACTGAAATTTGGCATCAGCGACGGTTGAACCGGCATTTGGTGGAAGTCTGATTCAGAAAAAAAAACAATTGCATCGCTGGACTGACTGGAGCGTGAGGTAATTCATCTGGTAGCCTCGGTATAGATTACCTTGCTGGTATAGAATAATTAGACTTTATATTTAGAAGGGTCATTCAGCAGTGCAAAGTATTCTCGTTTCTTCATTAAAAAATGCGCGACTACATTCACATTAAAAATTAAAATGTTCCCAGCTAAGTTGCCCCGTTCTATAGTCCCCTTATTATCAGGGCGCTCAAACCACCACTAGAGCAACTCCCATAATAAACGGAAGTTCTAAGAAGTTACGAAGGTTTATTTCAACCATCAGACATGAAGTTATTTCACCTTCAACATCTCAAGGTTACACAACTTACCAGCAACTAGATCTTACAAAAATGAACACAGAAGGTAATAATTATCAATCGTTAAAAGAGAATACCACGGGAATTCCACGAAATGAAGATGTACACGACGATAACTCAACTTACACGCAGTTCAGCAAAACCAAAGAAGTGGAGAACAACTATCAATCTTTAACTTGACACAGTTTTTACTACCTTATTTATGGCCACGGAACAGATTTATTCTTAACTATGTTTTTATTCGATACATGTTTCAACCAGGTTCCAGCTGATCTGAAATCATGAGGTCATGAGACTGATTTACTTTATTGAATCGGAAATAACATAAAAAATACTTCTGCAATATTTCTAAGATTCTATACGTGCTGGTTTGTTTGTTAGTTTAAAATTACACTGACCGAACTGGGTAAAAATACATTTTAAAATCCGTAATTTAATACATACTGAATATCCATTGAGCACCTCTTGAAAATTGTCGAAATTGTTTCAAACTAACATTACATGCTCGACTGCATTTCATTCGCACTGAATTAAATGGAAATCCTCCTCAATAACCACACAAGTCACAACGGCGGAAGTTTCGTTTTCATGTATTTACATATTATACCAAGCGACAATACCAAACGAGTCTGAGAAGGCGGAAGAACGTCACACCACACTGCATGGCAAAATACGAAAACCACGAAACAGCGTTTAGTGGATCTATATCACAGGAATTTAACGAGTTTTCACTGGTTGATTTAACCTCAGTGTAACAAGTATGTAACAAGACTGGTTGGTTTCAACTACTAGTTTTACTGATTCATCGATATATTTCCGCCTGATAAGAACAATCAAACTCAAGACTAGCTATATTGCACGTATAATATTACAAACAACAACAACAAGATGCTGCCAAATATTTCGCTACTTACTTGCATCATATTCTATATTCATGTACGGTCTGAAAGATTTAATCGTAACTTTTTAATGCAGGTTTCACTGACTTCCAAACTATGGTCGTTCTTGGTTTTCTCGCATTATTTTGTTTTGCTTTTACGTTTCTTTCATCGGAAGGTAAGCAGTTGGCCTCGATGTGACGTGTGGCAAAAATGTATATGGCGCAAAGTCTTCGTCGTAGCTTATTTAGAGATGTTAAAAACCACATGTCACTTATAAATGTAGAACAGCAAAGCAGTCTTAACATCAATGGGGACTGATATTCTGCTATATTTTTAACATGCTTGTTGTGATGACTGATGAGATTAATCTTTTCACCTTTTATACTTAATATCCTGAAAATATTCGAATAAACGTTTAAAAGCTGTTATTCTTAATTTAGATTGCGATACAATTTCATTTCGGGAGCAGCTCAAAATACTGTAAATTAAACATGCATGAGCATAATTTTTTTAAAGATATTTTCTAGCATAGAATAATAGAATGACATTTTGATTATTTAGGAGCGATTCGTCCACCAAGTGGGACAGACTTGATGTTATTACCTCATAAATTAAATAATGAAATAAAGTGGACATTTGATGGTAAAGCTTATCAGCGTGTTTGGTTATTCACTCGTAGAGGCGACACAGCAAGAAAAACAATTGCCACTATAAGTGTGGCTGGTGACATTACAATATTCAACAAAAGTCTACCTGGAGTTAGTGTAATTTCACCAGCAACACTGGTTTTGAAGAAAGTTGATAAAGATTTCAATGGAAAATACGAATTTCGGCTTACTCTGGATGATGGAAGTGTCATTGTGTCTTATGTCAGCGTTTTTATTGCGGGTAAGGTTTTATAAAATGAACTTCAGGTTTTCTTAAAATCGTAAAACTTTCGCCGGTGATGTCATTTTTGCCTTAAAAGAACACATGATATCCATATAACAGTTTCTCGCAGTCGAGATTATCAGTTAAGCTCTTTGAGGTCGGACACTCGGATTCAAATTGATCGCTTCGTCGCTTTCCACTATATAGCTAATTAAAAAGTAACTTCTTCAAACACTGACAGTGTATATATGGTTCATAAACAAATTTTAGAGAAGCCAACAGTGAAATTAAATTGTTCTAATACCACGACGCTAAATGAAGGTGATGACTTCAGCTGTCTGTGTGAAGGTAAAGATGGAAATCCACCAGCTAACGTTACCTGGTTTAAAGATGACACGAAGATTGGTGGAACAGGAAAGAAAGAACAAATGTTGACTCTCAAAAATGTTGATAATACAGACAGAGGAACGTACAAGTGTCTTGCTGAAAGCCACCCTGATGAAAGATATGAAGATAAAAAAACAGTCAAAATAATAGTTCATTGTAAGTATGTATAATATGCAAAGGCATCACAAGTATATTTAGTTGGACTTAGATGAGGTAAATAGGAAAGAAGAAACACAGCTAGGTGAATTTTTTGGTTTTTTAGTTCGACCCCACGTGACAACAATTACTTTTATGGCAAAAAAAGCCAAAGTTGGTAAAGCAATAAACATCACATGTGAATCAGAAGGTCTTCCTGAACCAAGTTTTATCATAACCCACAATAACACCGAGGTTATTGCTGAAAAGACGTACAACATACCACAAGTAAAGTGGAGTGATAGTGGTTTATACCAATGTATTGCAAAGAATATACTTGGAAGTAATTCAAAGTGCTATTTTTTTATCGTTTCAGGTAAAATGAGTTTAGTTTGATGCTGTATTATAGGCTAAAAATGCTGATACAATCCTGGTTCTTTGTCTTTAAGAAAATGTCACACCATGAATAAATTGATCGTGTTCATCGATTCTTATGCAGTACAACATCTTATGTGATTCAGTTGCATCCCATAACATACCTATACCTAAGTCATTTCAGAATTATTATGGCGCGATTTCTTCTTACGTTGCTTGTGGACAGTCTGCATGGTTCAGTCTGCATGGTTCAGTCTGCATGGTTACGTCGCCAAATCCACGCATAAATTACCTGATTTAACTTTTTTTTGTCGGAAAAGTTCTATCAGAATTGCAAAATAAAAAAAATTGTCATTGACATCCTTTTAATTTGTCTGCATGAATGGTGACAATGCATGTTGAAAATAACTATTTAATGTAATTTTTTAAACCAATAAATTTAAATCAAATATTCTAAATGTGTTTTTAGGGGAAACAACATCTTCTACGAAAGTAGACTGTGATGTAGGTGACAATGTTGTAGTATGGCATATCGTTGTTTCATTGATATTGGGCATCGTCATTGGATGTCTCCTTTCCTACATCGTCTCATGTTCTCGTCGTAAATTCAAAATCAAGAAAAGCCAGCGTTCAATCCCTGAGCATTCAACATCTCAAGGTAACACAACTTACCAGGAACTAGATCTTACAAAAATGAACACAGAAGGTAATAATTATCAATCGTTAAAAGGGAATACCACGAGAATTCCACGAAATGAAGATGTACACGACGATAACTCAACTTACACGCAGTTGAGCAAAACCAAAGAAGTGGAGAACAACTATCAATCTTTAACTTGACACAGTTTTTACTACCTTATCTATGTCCACGGAACAGATTTATTCATAACAATATTTTTTATCGATACATGATTTAACCAGGTTCCAGCTGATCTGAAATCATGAGGTCATGAGTCTGATTTACTTTATTGAGTCGGAAATAACATAAAAAATATTTCTGCAATATTTCTAAGATTCTATACGTGCTGGTTTGTTTATTTGTTTAAAATTACGCAGAACTTGGTACAAAATACATTTTTCAATCGGTAATTTAATACATACTGTATATCGATTAATTAAGCACCTCTTGAAAGTCTGGTTTTAAAGAATGTTGGTGAAGATTTTAATGGAAAATATGAATTTCAGCTTACTTTTAATGATGGAAGTAACAGTGATTCTTATATTAACGTTATTGCGGGTGAGGTTTTATAATCGTAAAACCATCGTTGATGTTAGTTTTGCCCTAAATTAACACATCATATCTATAAGCTCGCAGTCGAGATTATTAAGCTTTTTGAGGTCAGACACTCTTGATTTAAATTTATCCATGCAATTGCTGTATATAGTACGTGTCTTCATCACTTTCTACTATTATAGCTAAGCAAAAAGCAACTTTCAAACACTTACAGTGTGTGTATGATTCATAAAAAAATTTTAGAAAGCCAACAGTGAAATTAAATTGTTCTGATACCACAACGCTAAAAGAGGGTGGTGACTTCAGCTGTCTGTGTGAAGGTAAAGATGGAAATCCACCAGCTGATCTTACCTGGTTTAAAGATGACAAGAAGATTGGTGGAAGAGGAAAGAAAGAACACAGTGGAACGTACAGGTGTGTTGCTGAAAGGCACCCTGATGAAAGATATGAAGATAAAAAACAGTCTAAATAATAGTTCAATGTAAGTGCATGTGTATATTATATGTAAAGGCATTATAAATATTTATAGTTGGATTTAAATTCCCTCAAATTTAGAATTTTAAGATTTAATCCAGTTCATGCCAAACAACGAGCAATTTTAGAGCGATTGAAACTTGAAAGAACCACTATACGGTGGATAGCGCTATCCGCCTTTCGAACAACCGGCCCCAGATTTACGATTCTCCCCAAAGGCTGCAGGCAGACGCACAGCGGGAAATCGGCAGGTTTGGATATTAGCCTGATGCGCAAGTTCCTCACAAAATAAATGTCGCGCCCACGCGTAACCCTCTAATAACCTGTGGATACATATTTGCATATCATTACAAAAATATCCGAATGCGGAAGAACTTCCCGACATACAGACAACATTGCATTGATATACAGTATTCTGTGGAACATTGGATCAGAATTGGAATTTATCTTGTAATATAGATAAAGGTGAATTATAATATAAGGCTAGTCGCAACAGGAATAGTTTCCTAATCATTTTTCTTTGACATGCATGTCATTCAGCACTGTGTCTCTGGCATAATATATAGTTCTGACGATTTTACGACATGAAACGCGGACTTTAGTGCTAACAAGGGCAGATTTCGTATATTTTATTGATTCTATATTTTCAAATGCTGACGTTTATTGAAATCTCCATATCAATATCGTTCTATAGTTCAAAATAGTTTGTTGCGTTTCCAGCCGAAGTCACACACAGCAAGGTATGACATTCAATAAAATTAGCAATTTTAAAACGTTCAAAGTACGCACACCGGCGAATGAATTTGTTTGGTCGTTTTCAAAAAATATTATGCCCTTCTTCTTCAATGGATAGCATTCTGGACGTCAATTGAAACAATCCACTTAGTTTCATGTTTAAAATATATTTTTTGCGAGGGTATATGTCAATTCTTCTATACTGATATGTCTAGATTTTAAACTTGCGAAGGTTGGACGGTCAGCAAAAATTAACGTGATATTCTGAATATCATGCTTCTAAGAATTTTATACCTATATATAGTACCGATCTATGATTCTTTAACTGATGGTAAAAATTTCGATTGTATGAATGATAGGCGTACGAGCTCGAGCCGCGGGGGAAAATGTTCCAGGTTTTTTCGGCATATTATATTTCATTTATACAGTGCTCTAACGACGTTTTTTAAGTATAACGACAAATCCAAATTTATTTATTTAAATGGTTCAGTTTTTTCAGACCAGGAAGAGCGCTTTGATAGCATTTGGCTGAGGCTCGAACAATGGGATGTGCAACGCATAAAATCTAGCCGTTACTCTGGTAATATCTCGGGTTTAAACTTTCAATCTGTAGTTCCGCGGGTATTATTTCGAATACCGTGTGTTTATTTTTTATACAGGTACACTGACTTCAAAAAATGACTTGTTCTAGTTGCCTTGTTATCCTTTGGTTTGCTTTTATATTTTTACTATCGGAAGGTAAGCGGTTGGTCATAGTGAACCAACAGGGCCAGCTGCCCCACTTACCTTTTACCAGCTGGGACAAGGGGGGAAAGATGCCTTTTCATTTTACACGATTTAATTTGTCTTAAGTAGAAATCAGTGTTAAGTTTAACTGACATATAATCGATGACGTGAGTTTACCGTTGAAATTTTTTCGCCCCATACATGGAGATTATGCAAACGGAACGTTTGTAGATCGCCACATGAATTAAAAGTTCAACGTCTGAAACACGCCTAACATTCTATAAGAATTTTTGATCTGAATATAATTAAAAAGCATAGATTGCAAAATTGAATAAATCTCATTGTCATACGCATATTTATAATTTCATAAAGATTTTAAATATTATAAAAACGTTTTATTATATTTAGGAGCAATTAGTCCACCAAGTGGGACAGACTTGAAGTTATTTCCTCATAAATTAAATAATGAAATAAAGTGGACATTTGATGGTAAAGCTTCTATTCGGACCTGGTTCTTTACTCGTAGAGGAGACACAACAAGAAAAACAATTGCGAGCATATCTTCGACTGGTGACATTACAGTATTCAACAAAAGTCTACCTGGACTTAGTGTAACTCCACCAGCAACACTGGTTTTAAAGAATGTTGATCAGGATTTCAATGGAAAATATGAATTTCTGCTTACTCTGGATGATGGAAGTAGCAGTCTTTCTTATATTAACGTTTTTATTACGGGTAAATAAAAGTGTTTGCAAAACATCGACTTCGGGTCAGGGGTTGTTCTGCTTGTTTGAACGTTGTCCAAAGGCAATAATTGAGTAGGGATGAAATTACATATATTTATGTAAGTTTCATATGTATATTAGAACCACAAGAATTGTAGGCAGTTCCTAGACATGCTGACTATGCTGACCCGCCTAGCGTTAATGAAAATAATTTTTCGCGTATCATTTTTCTTTTAAATTTCAGGCTCCGTGATTGCGTAATTCGGGTGGGGAGGGGTTGACACTTGTTTCTCTGATTTGCCCCTACGAAAATGTCGATCCTATATATACCACCTCTGTCACGACCTATAGCTTTGTTGCTCTTTACTAGAACCGTAAAATGATATTTTCCAAAATTTACTGTGTACGACATTTAACTTCATTTCAGCAAAACCAACAGTGACATTCAGTTGTCCTGATACCACGACGCTAAATGAAGGTGATGACTTCAGCTGTCTGTGTGAAGGTAAAAATGGAAGTCCAGCAGCTGATGTTACCTGGTTTAAAGATGGCGAACAGATTGGTGGAACAGGAAAGAAAGAACAATTGTTGACTCTCAAAAATGTTGATAAATCAGACAGTGGAACCTATAAATGTGTTGCTGAAAGTGACTCTAATGAGAGATATAAAGATGAAAAAACAATGAAGATAATAGTTCAATGTAAGTATGGTTGCTGGGCCGCTAACCGGACATCAAGGTTACAGGCCCGCCAAGGCCCATATCACCTAAAACGATGTGGAATAGCAATTTGCCAGGCCAATATAAACAATATTTTACCACTCCCTCATGCTCTCATTGTGGAGACTGACTCTGATTATATAGCAAAGATATATGTACCTTAAATTTTTAAATTATGCGAGATACGGACGCGTAGCGGTGCCCGAGACACTCCTTTATCTTGTTGGGTTTTAAAGAAATTTAAATTATTGCATTATATTGGTTTAGTTATTAATTGTTCGCCATCAGTATTCAGATGGGATGGCCCTGAGCTGGTGGTGACACTCATGTTTCCACTTTCATCTGTGAAATTAATGTTTAATTCGTTTGTTTAAATGCAGTCAAACCGAGGAAACCAGAATTAACATTCACAAGTAATCTAGCTCCACTTGGTGGCTCATTTACCATATCATGTTCATCTGATGGTGTTCCTGAACCAAGTTATAAAATAACCCATAATTGTACCGAAGTCAGCACTGAAAAGTCGTTAACCATATCTTCAGTGAAGTGGAGTGATGCTGGAAGATACGAATGTTTTGTAAATAATAATCTAGGAAATGATTCAGTCTCTAAAGACTTGAAAGTAACAGGTACATATATATAAACACGAGACCAAGGCGAGGAATTTTGATGTTTGATCAAATCAGCTAGGCCATCCAAACACTGGAACCATTAAGTAATTGTTTTGTAAAATAACAACACCGAGGCAAGGACATGCACGTCGAATTCAATAGAAACGTATAGGAAAATGCTGTTCGAACGTGAAATATGTTTATTTTTTGAAATTCGTGCAAGATCAAAATTTTAACCAAAATTTTAAAAGACAATAGTAAGTGGATGATTTTAATTTGGCGTTGAAACAAAATACCAGGCCCAGTTGTATAAAAGTTAACTTTTAACTGTAGTTAAGGACAGAATTGGCCAATCAGAGACGTGTATCGATGGAAAGATTTGCTTTAACACAGGGTTAAACTAACCGGCTTTTGAACAATAACCGGCTTTTGAACAAATATATACATATATATTTTTCTTTAGTGGGTAAAGATGAACCGAGTTGGCCAAGAACGACAAAGTCAATGACAACATCTAAAACAAACAAGTCATCTACAAGCAGGTCTATGGATTATGAGGAAAAAAGTAAGGCATGATACTACAGCAAATTGTGAAGTTATATTTAAAAAAATTAAAACATTGAAAGCAATTTTTCCAGGGATTTTACTATCATCTACCAACGTTAAATGTTAAAATTTCTCTATAGTTTAATTGTTGCTGTGTCACTCAATGCTTCGCACGATTTGCCAGGTCTCAACGAAAGATATGTTCTATATTTATTTACAGGTTCAAATGATACAAGTTGTAAAACTGAATGGTACATTATTGTTGTGACTTTGGTGTCTGGAATTATCATCGGGATTCTCCTGCCAAAAATTGTTTCATTTTCCCGCCGAAAATTCCAAAATAGAAAACCTCAACTATCAAACCCTGAACCTTCAGCATTTCAAGTTGATTCAACTTATCAAGAACTGGATCTTAAAAAAATGAACAAGGAAGATAATTATCAATCATTGAGTGGGAATGTTGCAGGAAATGACGGTGTAAATAACGATGAGTCAAATTATGCAGAGTTGAACAAAACCAGAGATGTCGAAAACAATTATCAATCTCTAAGTTGAACCAGCTAATTTTGTCAAAACCACCCCAAGCACCCCTGCGCGCTCGCCTATTTTAAACTGACCTCTATACAATAAGTTAATGCAACGTTATATATTTTACTATTAAAGCGCCTGGATACGAAGCTCAGCGTGCGTGGGATTTAAGAACGTCCATAGACGCTCAATTGGGGTGGTGCATGTATATTCACATATAGGCCTTATCTCCTATATGCCCTTGATTGAGAGCGGTTTTTAACGGTATGTAAACTTAGATCATATACGCCATCAATTAATATTCAGTTTGGGGTGACCTTGGGGGCTGGGTCCTGAAGGTGAGTCTGTTAGATGGGCCTTTTTTGACTGACTTTTTCTCCCAAAGTAACTATAAGCACGAATAAAACTTGAGTTAGACTCGGATAACAATAATATTATTGTTGGGCTTTAAATTAAGCCCCGTTTACACTACAGTCAATTTTCGACACGGCACGGCTAAAATTGGTACCCGTACCCAATTTTATTAGTGTTCAGGCTACCAAAACAAAGGCCGAGCATAGATAAAACGGGCACGGGTACCCATTTTAGGCGTGCCGTGCCATTAAATCGAGTGTAATGTAAACGGGGCTTTAATAAGTGTAGTGTAAACCTGGCTTTTAACTATGTATTTGGAAAACTTATCATCATACAGTTTTTTAGTTTTTGAAAATTTTTAGTGGAGCAGGCATCATTGACGGTTAAACCGGCATTTGGTGGAAATCTCATTCAGAAAAAACAAACAAACAATTGCATCGCTGGACTGGAGCGTGAGGTAATTCATCTGGTAGCCTTAGTATAGATTAACTTGCTGGTATAGAATAATTAACAAATAGATTACAATGAACCGTTGTCTGTTCAGTTATAGATACACGGTATGACGTCATATGTGATAAGAGCAAAAAAAGTTGCATTATATTGGTTTGGTTATTAATTGTTCGCCATCAGTATTCAGATGGGAATGGTCCTGAGCTGGTGGTGACACTCATGTTTCCACTTTCATCTGTGAAATTAATGTTTCGTTTGTTTGAATGCAGTTAAACCGAGGAAACCAGAATTAACATTCACAAGTAATCCAGCTCCACTTGCTGGCTCATTTACCATATCATGTTCATCTGATGGTGTTCCTGAACCAAGTTATAAAATAACCCATAATTGTACCGAAGTCAGCACTGAAAAGTCGTTAACCATATCTTCAGTGAAGTGGAGTGATGCTGGAAGATACGAATGTTTTGTAAAGAATAATCTGGGAAATGATTCAGTTTCTAAAGACTTGAAAGTAACAGGTACATATATATATTGCAAGTATGTATATTTTTTAATTATCGTGCGGAAAAACAAGAAACTTAACAAGTGAACGCGAAACACGAGACCAAGGCGAGGAATTTTGGTGTTTGAATCAGGCCATCCAAACACTGGAAACCGTTAAGTAATTGTTTTGTAAAATAACAACACTAAGGCAAGGACATGCACGTCGAATTCAATAGAAACGTATAGGAAAATGCTGTTCGAACGTGAAATATGTTTATTTTTTGAAATTCGTGCAAGATCAAAATTTTAACCAAAATTTTAAAAGACAATAGTAAGTGGATGATTTTAATTTTGCGTTGAAACAAAATACCAGGCCCAGTTGTATAAAAGTTAACATTTAACTGTAGTTAAGGACAGAATTGGCCAATCAGAGACGTGTATCGAAGGAAAGATTTGCTTTAACACAGGGTTAAGCTAACCGGCTTTTGAACAAATATATACATATGTATTTTTCTTTAGTGGGTAAAGATGAACCGAGTTGGCCAAGAACGACAAAGTCAATGACAACATCTAAAACAAACAAGTCATCTACAAGCAGGTCTATGGATCATGAGGAAAAAAGTAAGGCATGATACTACAGCAGATTCGCATTTATATTTCAAAAAATTAAAACATTGAAAGCAGTTTTTCCAGGCCGGATTTTACTATCATCTACCAACGTTAAATGTTAAAATTTCTCTATCATGGTTTAATTGTTGCTGTTTCACTCAATGCTTCGCACGATTTGCCAGGTATCAACGAAAGATATGTTCTATATTTATTTACAGGTTCAAATTATACAAGTTGTAAAACTGAATGGTACATAATTGTTGTGACTTTGATGTCTGGAATTATCATCGGGATTCTCCTGCCAAAAATTGTTTCATGTTCCCGCCGAAAATTTCAAAATAGAAAACCTCAACTATCAAACCCTGAACCTTCAACATCTCAAGTTGATTCAACTTATCAAGAACTGGATCTTAAAAAAATGAACAAGGAAGATAATTATCAATCATTGAAAGGGAATGCTGCAAGAAATGACGGTGTAAATAACGATGAATCAAATTATGCAGAGTTGAACAAAACAAGAGATGTCGAAAACAACTATCAATCTCTAAGTTGAACCAGCTAACTTTGTCAAAACCACCCCAAGCACCCCTGCGCCCTCGCCTTTTTTAACTTACAAACTGACCTCTATACAATAAGTTAATGCAACGTTATATATTTTACTATTAAAGCGCCTGGATACGAGGCTGAGCATGCGTGGGATTTAAGGACGTCCATAGATGCTCAATTGGAGAGTGCATGTATATTTACATATAGGCCTTATCTCTTATATGCCATTGATTGAGAGCGGTTTTTAACGGTATGTAAACTTAGATCATATCCGCCATCAATTAATTTGGGGTGACCCTGGGGTGACAGTTTTTTTAGTTTTTGAGAATTTTTAGTGGAGCAGGCATCATTGACGGTTAAACTGGCATTTGGTAGAAATCTCATTCAGAAAAAAAACCAATTACATCGCTGGAATAGATTAATCACCTTGCTGGTATAGAATAATTGTACTTTATATATAGAAGGATCACTCAGCGGTAAAAGTATTCTCGTTTCTTTATGCAAAAATGCACGACTAAATTCACACTAAGGAATTCTAGAGCAACTAAGAAAAAAACAAGACGCCTGTTCTGGCGTTAACTCCGGCGTGCCGCGCACTCGCCAGTCTTCAATATAAAGCTTCTGAACATAAACAAATCAATACAGTTCATACAGTTCATACCATACATGCCTTGCCAACCTAAATGTTATTCGATCGCAACATTCAAAAGCACATCGTACTTTAAAAAGCATAGAAGTTCAACTGTTCAAAAATGTAAATAGACCGCATGATACGTTCACTTTGTCTTACACTTTGCCTTCGGAATTCGCGCTTATATAGTTATAATAAATCTTCAATCCTGTGCAAACTACGCGACGTGCAACGCGCCCATACACGACCACATCATCTTGTTGAAATAGCAGCGATATTATTAAAATAGGACCAGAATCAGCTATGTATTATTCTTACCCAAATTAAATCTAAACTTAATCGAACAGCATCAAAAGAACAGTTTATTTGTTCCTCTTGGAGGAATTGCCGTATCATGCGAGCGAAATCGAATCGCGCATCGGAAAACTAGCCAAACTGCTGTGCACCACAACTCTTGGGAGATAAGACTGGGACGTAGATAAATACGGTCACAAACACAATTCAAATTCTAGTATATTTCGCGCCAAATTCTAGTATATTTCGCGCCAAAACACACTTGCGACGACGAAAAATAAAATAAAATAAAAACCAAAAAAAAACAAAAAAAAAACAAAACGAGGCGAATTTTCAACTCCATCGCTGACGCCGGAGTAATAAACACGCCTCGCAACGAAGTATTATGTTATTCGAATCAGGAAATTGACCCCAATTTTGTGGACAGCTCAAAATACCGTAAACATGTCTTGGGACAGAGCATAATTTATTTTTATTTGATTTTCAAACTAAAAACGAAAACAAAAACCATTGATTATTTAGGAGCGATTCGTCCACCAAGTGGGACAGACTTGAAGTTATTTCCTCATATATTAAATAATGAAATAAAGTGGACATTTGATGGTAAAGCTTCTATTCGGACCTGGTTCTTCCCTGGTAGAGGAGACACAACAAGAAAAACAATTGCTGGTATAGGTGCGACTGGTGACATAACACTATTCAACAAAAGTTTACCTGGAGTTAGTGTAACTCCACCAGCAACACTGGTTTTAGAGAATGTTGATCAAGATTACAACGGAAAATATGAATTTCAGATTACTCATGATGATGGAAGTAACAGTCGTTCTTAGATTAACGTTTTTATTGCGGGTAAGGTTTTATGAAAAGATAAGGTTTTACTGAAATTAGCTCTCATATGATTTAAATCGATGCAATTACTGCAGTCACTGCATGGATATTTCATATTTATCACTCTTCATTGATAACAGCAAAATAATCCTTTTAGACATATAAATAACATGTATGTCTTATAGCTACTTTCAGCAAAACCAAATGTGACATTCAGTTGTCCTGATACCACGACGCTAAATGAAGGTGATGACTTCAGCTGTCTGTGTGAAGGTAAAGATGGAAATCCACCAGCTGATGTTACCTGGTTTAAAGATGACAAGAAGATTGGTTGAACAGGAAAGAGAGAACAATTGTTGACTCTCAGTAACGTTGATAATACACACAGTGGAACCTATAAATGTGTCGCTGAAAGCGACTCTGATGAAATATATAAAGATGAAAAATCAATCAAAATAATAGTTCAATGTAAGTATGACATGCAATAAAACAATACTCTGCATGTTATAATCAAAGGAAATCGTACCTTAAGACTTGATACGGCAGATATATCATTTAAATAATTTATCATAGGCCTATTAATAGTTTAAAAAAGTCGCTGTATAAATATATCAATAGCTACTCCATTAAGGTCCTAACATGATTTAAAAACTGAAGTTCACCATACGTTCCTCGTATAACCTAAAAATAGTTCCATAAGACACAGTGGCGTCGTGAGCAGGGCCAAGGGGAGTTAAGGGAGCATTTTACTCCATCCGCCCTCTAAAATTGGACCTTTTCAAATTTCAATTTCATTTATTGCCCTGTTTATTTACTTTATTTGCAAAAAATA